CACCGTTTGTCAGTGGTGTCTAAATAATCTTAAAAAGTATATATAACTCGTTAAAAGTCACATTGGAACTTGCCGTTGGGTGGTTTCGAGCTCGCACTCTCAAGCATGAGAAACGGACGTCTTAACCTCCGAGTCACGACGACACACTCTTCTATGTGTGAGAAAAGGCCAGAAATACACTACTACTACTTATAAGTTGTAGATGATGATGATGAACTGCTGTCGTTGTGCGACTACTCAGAGGGCTTAAAACGATTGTATTACGTTCAACCAAATCAGAACGTTACCGCGTTCGGTGTTGACGCCTAAGTATAGATTTCCATTTAGACCTCCATTTAAAGTACCTAATAGAAATGAGACCACGTTCGGTACTCTGAGGCCTTAGTACGAGTTTGGTTTACGTTTAAAGTATTCGAAATGAACACGCGTTCTGCGCTCTGATTGGCCGAATCGAATGAACTAACCAATCAGAGCGCCGAACGCGTACTCGTTTCGTATAATTTAAGCGTAAAACAAATTTCTACTAAGGCCTCTGATTAGCTGGCTCCAATAAGCTCGTTACTGCTTTCGGTGCTCTGAGGTCCAGTTAGTTTTCCATTTAAAGTAATAGAAACAAGACCAAGTTCGGCGCTCTGATTGGATGGTTCGTTGGAGCTGGCCAATCCGATGTTCGAATGCGGTAACAATGGTCGAATGTCGTACAAAGCACTCCGATTGACTTGCTCCAAATCAGAGCTACTAAGTCCTCAGGAAGAGGTCTCGCTTCCGATTCCTAGTAATATAGGTTAAAAGACAATTTTTTTAAAAAACAAAATTATTACTACGTTTCTCTATATTATCTAGATGCAGTATTGGGTATTATTATCGCCCTTAGGGCTCGTACACATAACTGCGATGCGACATCGCATCGCAAAAATGTGCGACCTCCTTCTACGCACCGCAAGAACTTGCGAATTGATTCGCATCGCGCATCCAAAACTTATCTTCCCAAAATCTTGTTTGCTTCTTTTTCAAATTAAAATACGTTTACGGTCGTCGAAGGAATGTTCAGCCTTGTTGCACGAAATCGCATCGCAGTAATTCGTGTCGTAATTTTCTGCGTTGCGAATTCGCATCGCATCGCAGTCTTGTGTACGAGCCCTAATACTTACTAATGTTTTATATGTGAATGTTTGTGGATATGGAAGTATGTTCGTTCCCTTTGCATAACTACACACTTCAGTGTGGGAGAGCCATGCTTCGGCACGAAAGGGCCGGCTCGACCGAAGTGATACCACGACCTCACAGGAAACCGACGTGTAACAACGCTTGCGTTGAGTTTCGTCGTGTGAGTGAGGATACCGGGGGCCCAATTACTCCCCTCTCCAATGCCCGAATCCCCACAATCCTCAATTTTCTAATACCCAAAAGGTCGGCAACACACTCGGCAACGACTCTGGCGTTTTAGTTGTCCGGCGTGCGGCGCCGATTGCTTACCATAGGGTGATCCTTCTGGTCGTTTACTGGCTTATCTCATAAACAACAATGTCATATGCAGGTTGTCTAGTAAATACTTAAAACATAACTCTAGTAGTAAATAGTGTGTTTGTGTGTGTGGATTATAGCGTGAATCAATACTAACTTCAACATAATAATGATGTTCAGCTAACAATAACATTAAAAAACGACTTTATTTAATTGTGATATTAGACAGGTACAATACTAGCGGCTTTCCATTATAAAAATAGGAAAACAACGCTGATTTTGTAAAATATCAAACATTTTGCTTCAAATACTCATCGAAAAACCATGTAATCGGTACTTACCCACAGCAAAAGAACACTTTCAATAAAACAAACACACAACGATTACATTACAATTTATTAATTACGTATTACAATTTACCAAATCAGTCGTCGACACTCACTTTCAAAGGAAACGTAGTCGAAACGGGCCGATGCTTATTTGGCTCGTTTTTTGGTGCACAGGGTGAGGCATAAACTCTGGAAGATCCGTCCTCGGCACATGATACTTCGGTGTACTGGTGTCCATATTATGATCACTTTCAAATGTTTCTCTTAACAGCGCAGTAACAACGAGACATAAACAAGAAACGGCTATCGCGAAAATTAACCAACACAACAGCGGCAACGTGTTCATTGTTATAAGGTTGAAGTTTGACTGGCAATGTTAATCCCCGGTAGAGGATATTCCGCTCCCGCTAGTACTACCAATAATAATATTATTTGCATCTATTTTCCTTAATATTATGAGTTGTTAAAGATTTCTTGTAGTGTTTTTATCGGCAAATTGTTTTCCCAACTAGGTATACCTTTTACGTACCTACGTCCGCGTGGTTTCACTCGCTCTGCTCGGCGTCTATTGATCGTAGCGTGATGTTTTATACCCTATAGCTTTCCTCAATAAATGGACTGGACTATCGTTTCGTATCGTGTTTAAGGGCGCGTACACAAGTATGAGCCCTTAAACGCAAAAATACTGGTTTTGTAACTGTGATGTGATGCGATGCGAGTTCGCAACGCAGATAATTACAACACGAATCTTTGCGATACGATTTCGCGCGACCAGACGTCCTCGTTTTTTTGAAGTTGGTAAAGACTAATTTATGGACCCAAATTCTGCCAGAACTCATTATTCTACACGGACGAAGTCGCGGGCAACAGCTAATAATCTATATTCTATGTTTTACTTTACATATCTATATTAATATCTTACATTTACTATTATATAAAGCTGAAGTTTGTTTGTTTGAACGCGCTAATCTCCGGAACTACTTGTACGATTTTAATAATCACACCAGGGCTGTCCAAACAAAGGCCCGCGGGCCGCATTCTGCCCGTGGCTTTTTTCATGTGACCCGCGACACACTTTTTACATAACATCACGCATTTTATCCCCGAAGGGGTAGGCAGAGGTGCACATTATGCCACTGTACAATGTAACACCCACTTTTCACTATTTATGTTATGAGTCCCATGTAATAGGGGGTGACCCTATTGCCATATACTGGGCACATTTCCAGAGTCCGTGCTACTACTGAGATTTAAAAACCCAGTAATACTTTGCTCGACCCGGGAATCGAACCCGAGACCCCTTGCCCGGCAGTCAAATTCGCGACCACTCGGCCAACGAGGCAGTCAACACTTTTTAATCTCAACATATTCTTTACATGCAACCACAATAATAAAAATCAGTGTATGATTTGTATAGAGGTAGATACAACTTTTGTCTGTAAGTAAAGAATACAATGTTAAACGTCATTATAAAACTGAAAGTATTTTTCTGGTCGTCCAGCTTTTGTGAGAAATTTAATTAGCCCGCGAGGGTAAATACATAGTTTGGACAGCCGTGCATCACACGATGACCTACAGGAGCCGGACAGCGGGTGCAACCGCGCGGGGGTAGGTAGACATATATAATTTGTTCATAGGTATTATATATAAGAACCTGATTGAACTAGTCTATCATCATCATCAACAGCCTATAAGTGCCCACTGCTGAGCAAAGCCTCTTCTCACACGGAGAAGGTTTGAGCATTAATCACCACGATTGCTCAATGCGGGTTGGCGATGTCAAACTTATAATTAGAAATTATAAGTCCAGGTTTCCTCACGATGTCATTCGTTCAACTGCAAAATCACGCAACATTAACTGTCGTAGCTCTGTCGGGTTATTTTAAATTAAAACAGAATACTGCACAATTAGTAGGTTTAATTATTACAAATCAGAATGAAGACCAGTGCACACCGATACAAAGAAATGCCCGAAAGCTTTGACGTGAGTTAGCGGAGTGTGTGGAAAAAGAAGCGCGGCGCTCGCGCGGCCGTGGGTTTTTATACCTCCGTCCCGCGCGTCGCCGCCTCTGTGGTCGATGGCCATACTAATGCGCCGATATTAACTGTAATAATAAAGAAATTGCAATAAGGAACCTAAGCCTCAGCACGACTTTGTTAAATTTCATTACTTTTAGAGATAAACTAGCAGCTCCATCGAGACTTGGCTAGTTTTTTACGGAATGTTTTTGGTGGGATAGTGGATTATATGTAGAATAGTTCTGTGTGGTATTCAATCCGCAACACATTTCACTGTAGTCGGTTGAACAGCATTCTCTAAAAGGCTCTATTATTAAACGGCATCACGTAAAATGTCTGTATGGTGAGGCATCCACTGTCACATACATACATACATAACTTCACGCCTGTCTCCCATGGGGGTAGGCAGAGACTAGGGAACGCCAATTACTACGATTCCTACATACCTCTTTCGCTACAACATAAATTAAAAAGTAGCATAAAACACGAAAAGAAATAAAATAAGCTTTACATATAGAGAAGTGGAAGGATGATAGGGAGGCCTTTGCACTGCAGTGGGACGATCATGGCTGATAATGAAATAAATCACTACAATCATCATCATCATCATAGTATTAAACAAAGTCGCTATCCGCTATCTGTCTGTCCCTATGTATGCTTAGATCTTTAAAACTGCGCAACAGATTTTGATGCGGTTTTTTTTATAGATAGAGTTGTTCTTAAGTAAGGTTTATATGTATGCATATTGCACCCGTGCGAAGCCGGGGCGGGTCGCTAGTAATAATAAAACATGATTTCGTCGAATCAGTAGTCGAGTCCCTAACGACTGCCGAAGAAGTGATTGTACGTAATGTGGATACTACTAGGTAATGGCCGGGAAAATGAATCGAAGTTTATGAAATATAAAAATAATCATTTATTTTCTATGTCATACAGATACGAAACAATGAAATATACAAAATAATTGTATGTACCTTAGATATTCATATATCGCTAGCTATAACTATTTTAACGTTCTATTCAATACTTAAATGCACAGTTACAGTCTAACGTAATACATTCACTGACAAATTACAATATACCTCTAGAGATGTTTGCATAAAATAGAAACCTAGGAGCTTCTAAGAGGTCATTTATAAGCTAGTTGAAAAAATGAATGGAAAATGCGTACTTTCTCGAATGTCAGTGTCAATCCCAGCCATACGTTTTCCATCCATTATTATATCTTACACTTCTTGTACCATTACTTTTAGTTGGTTCAGATTTGGCTTCTACTGGTCTACCAGCAGATGTACCTGGTACAGTCGTATTTTCATATCTTTTATTTGTAGCCCATTTACTTGTACTGTCGCCTGTTTTACCGTCCAATCCATACGTGGTGCTCCATCCATCATCATATTTTACACTTGTTGTACCATTACTATTAGTAGGTTTGGCTTCTACTGGTCTACCAGCAGATGTACCTGGTACAGTCGTATTTTCATATCTTTTATTTGTAGCCCATTTACTTGTACTGTCGCCTGTTTTACCGTCCAATCCATACGTGGTGCTCCATCCATCATCATATTTTACACTTCTTGTACCATTACTTTTAGTTGGTTCAGATTTGGCTTCTACTGGTCTACCAGCAGATGTACCTGGTACCGTCGTATTTTCATATCTTTTATTTGTAGCCCATATACTTGTACTGTCGCCTGTTTTACCGTCCAATCCATACGTGGTGCTCCATCCATCATCATATTTTACACTTGTTGTACCATTACTATTAGTAGGTTTGGCTTCTACTGGTGTACTAGCTACATGCATAGGTGCATTTTCATTTCTTTTTTTATGTGTATTCCATACATTGTAGTCTGGTTTAACTGGTACAGTACCATTATCCAATGTTTTATTATCAGTCATCATATTATTAATTACACCACCACTTACGGTATATCCTATAGGCGATATTCTTACACGTGTAACTTTCGTTGCATTGTAATGTCCTATGGTTGTACAGTTGTCACAGAGGTCATAATAGCTTGATGTATTTTTAGGTTTATCAACATAAACATTTGAAACCGTGCCCTTGTTATTTATGTGAAAATTGGGTACAGCAACGGTTCCACTATCTGGAGTAGAAATTTCTATTGGCACGGCGTAAGCGTATTCGATGGGTGTTTTTGTATTTGCACTTGTACCCATATCTTTTTCGTATTTTCGCGGAGATGGAGCAGTTTTATCTATTGGCTTGGTGTAAGTACCATTGTATGACGGTGCGAGTACTGCTCTGTCTCCACTTGGAGTTGATTTACTTTTAGCTACGGCGTAATCCATGGGATAATTGACTGACTTTGAACCACCTGTATAATATTTGTTTTCTTCGTAAAATGTTGACGTAGGTCTATTTTTATTACTTGGAGTAGGCTTACTTTCACTGCTATGATATGTTACAGTTACAGCTTTAGGTTTTGCGTCGCTAGCGTTGCTTCCATATTTGGAATAATCGCTACCATTGGCTGTAGCACCGTGATTGTAACTTCCTGCTGGTGTGTCTGGAACATAAAGAATACTGTAGTTCTGTCTTCTTGGCGTTTTCGCTGAGGTAGAAACATCACTGTAGTTGTATGCCCTCGGCGTTTTCGCTGAGGTAGAAACATCACTGTAGTTGTATGCCCTCGGCGTTTTCGCTGAGGTAGAAACATCACTGTAGTTGTATGCCCTCGGCGTTTTCGCTGAGGTAGAAACATCACTGTAGTTGTATGCCCTCGGCGTTTTCGCTGAGGTAGAAACATCACTGTAGTTGTATACCCTCGGCATTTTCGCTGAGGTAGAAACATCACTGTAGTTGTATTTCCTCGGCGTTTTCGCTGAGTTAGAAACATCACTGTAGTTGTATGCCCTTGGCGTTTTCGTTGAGTTAAAAACATCACTGTAGTTGTATTTCCTCGGCGTTTTCGCTGAGGTATAGACATCACTGTAGTTGTATGCCCTCGGCGTTTTCGGTGAGGTATAAACATCACTGTAGTTGTATGCCCTCGGCGTTTTCGGTGAGGTATAAACATCACTGTAGTTGTATGCCCTCGGCGTTTTCGGTGAGGTATAATCATCACTGTAGTTGTATTTTCTCGGCGTTATGAATGTAGATGTATTATTATCATCAGAGTAGTATTTCGTCAGCGGTTTGGTTGTCGTATAATTGTATTTTCTTGGTATTTTAGCTATGGTGTTATTACCGTAGGAGTACGGTACCCATACTTTCTCATGACCTGGTCTACGGCTTACTGCAATTGGAATTGTGCTAATGATACTTTTATTACCAATACCAAAGTTGTTGATGTAGTACGGTCTTGTACTGGATTCAAAATAGGTATTATTGCGTCCATATCTCGTTATATTGTTGTCAGGAATAGGTACAGATCGTGAGTAGTTATGGTACTTACGTCTTCTTCCAAATGGATAATAGTAGTTTGGGGTAGTCTCTACCGTAGTCCATGGTGGTCGAGATTTATTGTATTTGTTGTAGTGTGTAGTGTCGATGACTGTGCCCTCGATTGGTTTCACACTACTTGAACCAAAATCTAATGCGATGTAGGCGGCCAGGGGGCCAATGTTCATAAATCCAAGTACTACCAAAGTTATGAGGAATATCGCTAATACTGTTGGAAATACCACACACACTGTTCTTGCCATATTGTATTGGATTATGTTTTGTTCATTATTTATGCACTGTGACGGTCGGTTCACCGATGTTTGTAGCGATCTTTTAACAATATAGCTCAGTGTATCCGTATATATAGGTGTTAATTGAGACCTGTATTGTTTTTTTCCTATATCCGTCCAGTTATCGCAGGCACACTGTTTGCGATAATTTAATACCGAGATTAAGTTGTTTTTTTGTACTAATTAGAACCTTGTCCTGTGCTAGGATTCTCCACGTTTGTGGGGTTTCACAAAGTAAACAATATCCTAAGAAAATTGATTGCACAGTTGACACAGTAGCTGTGTGATCGGTTGCTGTGAAGATTCGATTAATGCAAGGAACAAATAGTTGTGTAAACTACCAATTGTTAATCTGATTTGGTTTGCAGTTTTATCAAAACGAAATACTCAGGTATAGACCAGGTTATAACCTTTTTTACTCGATGGGAAATGAAAAGACAAAAAACATTTTCAACACTTGTGTTACGGTGAGGAGCCTATTTCCACTTAGTAGATACAGACTCCGTGCTTCTATATAAGAGATTTTCGAATTTAAATAAAAACTGGACTGCCTCGTTGGCCGAGTGGTTGCAAGTACGACTGCCGGGCAAGGGGTCTCGGGTTCGATTTTCGGGTCGGGCAAAGTATTATTGTTTTTTTTTTTAATCTCAGTAGTAGCACGGAGTCTGGTATTGTGCCCGGGATATGGCAATAGGGTCACCCCCTTTTACATGGGACTCATAACATAAATAGTGAAAAGTGGGTATTACATTGTACAGTGGCATAATGTGCACCTGTGCCTACCCCTTCGGGGATAAAAAGGCGTGATGTTATGTTATGTGTGTGTTGTAAATAAAAAACAAGATACGATGTAGGTAGATAAGTGACCAACGAGACAAATAATATAAAGAAACTGAACGCGGAAAATATTTATGCCTAATACATATATTTAACAATTTAAATTTAATGTTACTCCAGCGGTTTAAGTTTTGACTTTGTAGTTGTAACTTATACATGAAAAATTTACCTGTTGCGTACATTAAAAATAAAGTCATTGTAAAAGTAACCTTAAACTAACATATTGGGTTCGAAAATCAACCTTTTCTTTTCATTTTTAACTAGTTGTTGCCCGCCCACGTGTAATATGATTCCTCTTTTATCCCATGGTAACATTTAATCGGGATTTCATCACAATCCGTTCATTAGTTTCATCATGATTGACGGACAAACATTCAAACAAAGAAACACATTTATAATATCAATATGATCATATTTTCGTGCATTTATTGGTACAAATTGTTTACATTTAGTGACGTACCACAACATAACATCACGCCTTTTATCCCCGAAGGGGTGGGCAGAGGTGCACATTACGGCACTTAATGCCACTGGACAATGTAACACCCACTTTTCACAATTTATGTTATGAGTCCCATGTAATAGGGGGTGAGCCTATTGCCATATACCGGGCACAATTCCAGACTTCCGTACTACTACTCAGATTTTTTTAAAACCAGGTAGTACTTTGCCCGACCTGGGAATCGAACCCGAGATCCCCTTGCCCGGCAGACGCACTTGCGACCACTCGGCCAACGAGCATTTAGTGAAGTACCAAAACAAATATATATCAAACATTTAGTAATAGGTATTAATTAAGTTCTGTAATTACAAAATATTAGGAGTAATACATGATATGAGTATTACGAAATTAATACCTAACAATACAGTACAAACACGATGACTGCCTCGTTAGCATAACTAAATTTAAATTTAACTTTCAATATACAAACAGAACTATAATCAAAACATACGAACGTTAGTTAAAATAAATATTTAATCGAATTAGTTTGTCTCGACCATTTTTCTTTTCTTCGTAAAAAACGTTGACCCATAATAGGATTTTCTCATGTGTCGTGGGTGTGTTCACAAACTAAGCCTAAATAACAATTTGTGGATAACACATAGAGTTGTTCCGTGCGAGAATTAAACCCCCGACACATTGTGCGGCAGCCGGTTGCCCAGTCACCGCATCAATCGTGCAGTCAATTAGAATTAGAATATATACCATTGTTGGTCGATAATTAGAATATAAAATACAATAATATGATATATACTAGCTGAGCCCGCGACTTCGTCCGCGTAGAATAGTGATTCACAGCTCCTCCCCCGTAGTCGATAGCATGATTATATATTTTGTTGTCCTCAAGGTTATTTTCTTTTTCCGTCTCTTTGACCAAATATTGGTATTACATTGTTCTCACATAATTGAACTCAACGAAAGAATGTAACCAAAAATTGTATTGTGAACATGATTGAAAAAGAGTAACCTATGGAGTTTCTTGCTCGTTGTTCTCCATAGGAATCTACACTTTGGAACGAGCAAATAGCTTCACTAGAGGACTGACCTACAGACTGACATTTTTTCTTATTATTTAATATTTAAATATTTTGTTTTGACGTTGAAAAGTGCCTTCCTGGTCTAATTGAAATAAATGATTTTGACTTTGACTATATTGAAATAGGTTAGGTATTTATTTAAATGTAATGCTGATTAAATGGTTTTACGGTATGTCGCAATATATATTCTCCTGCAGTTTTGCCATTTAATCTAGAAATTATTCACGTTTCGCCACAATAGTTTTTATGTTAACTTATGACGTAGTTAGCTCCCATTTTATAACGAGTTCCAAACGAGTATTTAATCAATTTAAAGTAAAACAAAACAATCAACATTTTTTTTCTAAACGATGGACTTGATGTGGATTTGTTGATGTTTTCATTTTCTATTGATTAATTTCAGTCAATATTTTTTATCGATATTGGTTTTTTTTTATCTTTAAAAATGACTAGCTTCTGCCCGCGACTTCGTACGCGCAATCCCATTTTCCCCCGTTCTCGTTCGTGATTTTCGGTAAAAAGTATTGTATAAAAAGTATCCTATGTCCGTCTCCTGGTTCTAAGCTACCTCCCCGCCAATTTTCATCTAAATCGATTGAGGCATTCTTGAGTTATAAATAGTGTAACTAACACGAATTTCTTTTATATATATAGATTATGAATTTCGGAATATGGTTTTCCTAGTGAAGCAGTGTGTAAGCATATCAATTAAGCAAAAGTCAGATCAGATTAATATATTATTATCAAAATGGGCCATAATGATATTATGAAGTCTATAAGATGTGACAGTTGAACCTAATCTAACCTTAACGATCAATTCTTTTAAACATAATCCACCCAAAAACATTCTGTAAAAAACTAGCCAAGTCTCGATCGAGCCGGTCGTCTCTAAAAAGTAATTAATCTAGACACAGTCGAACCAAGTCTAAGGTCCTTACTGCGATTTCTTTATCATCAACAGCCTTCACCGTTTGTCAGTGGTGTCTAAATAATCTTAGAAAGTACATATAACTCGGAAAAAGTCACATTGGTACGGAACCCGCATTCTCATGAATGAGAAGCCAGCGTCTTAAACCTCCGGGCCACCACGACATTTATAATTATAGTTAATGTTGTGTGACTTGGCCGTTGAATCGCTACCCAAGTAAGAGTCTGACACTCCCTCCCGCTTCACCCAGGCGGGAGCAGTCATTCGATGATTTTCCCCCCTTAAAAAATCCATTGAAGAAATTTGCCATTATGAAAAAGTTGATTGAATAAACAGCAGTTCTGGCAACAGATTCATGCAATGGTGTCTTGCACCTGGTTTTACATCCTTCCACGGCCTTTCACTTGTTTTTGTAGAAACTTGGGTATCTTATTCTGGGAAATATTTTGCAATGACAGTCGATTTTTATTTATCAATAGTAGAAGGGAATACTACTATATCTCTAACACAGCAGAGACCTGCAGGTTTTTCATCAGATTCTTGAAACCTTCGATTTTTGACTTCAAAGGAAGCGGCTAATCAAGTTGAATATTTTTTGTAAAGGCAGTACATGTCAATCTCTAATCAATCATTGACAAATCAAATGGTTGGGCTCTTATGGTTTCCAACTAGATTTATATTTAATTCTGCACCAAATTTCAGCTCTCTGAGTTTATGGGAAGTATCAGTTCTATTTTGATGATCATGAGTGAGTGAGTGAGTGTTATAAATGCGAAACTTTACTTTCGTGTAACTTTGGAAGTAAATGATATACAGACTTGAAATTTTTTATTTTTAGTATGTGATTATGGTTTACTGGATGATGAAAATTTATGCGTTCTGGTCGTATCCAAAGGTTCTCACATAGGGGCCTGAAAATGTGGTAAATTGGTTGCAGTAAAGGATGGTACGGCAGTGTTTGCATCGCAGTCGGTTTAGTGGGGGCACGGCAGGAGGCACTCCAAATACATATATCAACGACATCCAAAACAGTTCCAACGATTTTCTTTATATTAAGTCTATTAAAACCCTGTTTGGGGACGATAAATCTGGCTAGGTTTCATTTTCAGACAACACTGAGCTAAACTTGGTCATCCAAGTACTATCTTTTAGTAAATGTCTTTTTGGGAAACAAAACATTAAATAAAATTATATTTTACGTCGCATTTATTGAAAGAATTCGATCTACATACAGAATCATTATTTATTGCATTAAACAGTGCAATATAGTATCAATACCAGCAAATGCATTGGACATATCGATAGAAACTAATTGGAAACTTTCGCTTATTAAATAGTGACAGGTTCCGTTTCTGTTGTTGATGTTACAGGTGTATCGTAGTTACTGCTTTCTGTAGCAGAAGTTTCGCTACTGGCTTCGGTAGCTGAAGTGTCGGCGCTAGCTTATGTAGTTGAAGTTTCGCTACTCGCTTCTGTAGGTGAAGTGTCGCTACTGGCTTCTGTAGGTGAAGTGTCGCTACTGGCTTCTGTAGGTGAAGTGTCGCTAATGGCTTCTGTAGCTGAAGTTTCGCTACTGGCTTCTGTAGCTGAAGTTTCGCTACTTGCTTCTGTAGGAGAAGTGTCGCTACTGGCTTCTGTAGGTGAAGTGTCGCTACTGGCTTCTGTA